ATAATGTTGTTTATTAATAATATGGATGGGTAGTTTTATTATCTGTTAACATCCCCACGAAGCATAATGATATGCTAAAAGGACGGGTAGGTTGACGCAGCGATTCTTCAACGCGATCTGAATTTAAATGTGAAAATAATGACTAAGGTAAAATAAAAGGTACCTGTACTGTGTGTGGTTATTTATTCTGCGAAAGAATAAAAACAACAACTGACTCGAAATACACAGCAAACAGGACAGCTTAAGTAGAATTGTTGGTTGTTGTTGCTTAATATCCATAATTATGTAGAATATTTTGCACTTCGGATTAAAAATGGTAAACATGAAGAACTTTCGTTTATCTACCTAGGGCACGCATATTTTTTTTTCATCATACCGGGGAAACTTAACAGATATTAAAAAAGAAGTCTATATTTTTGGGAATTTATCAAACATATTGTTTTAAGACAAATAACTGTTTATTTTTTTGATTAATTTCTTTCTTTATAGACCTATATCGTACTCTGATATATGTTATTGTTTAGAGTCATTCTTTGGAATTCTGTTATCTGATAGTTCGTTTAATAATGATAAACATACGTATATTGGTGAACATGTTTCCTTTAGGTTTTCATAACTCCCAGTGTCATATCCTCGTTTTTTTGATAGATTTAGAATATATATGAAGAATAGTCTAGCTTTTTATTTAGTGTGTGTGTATTTTTGTTCTAAACATCTCTAGTGTAGTATGATAACACTATAGTAAATGTCTCTTGGTATCTTTTCTTTTTTTGAATCTACACGAGAATGTTTAATTTAATGACAGTCCCATGTATCTTTGTGTTTGTGCACTATTACAACAGTTTGAACTATTATTCAATAACTGTACCTTTACTGTTGTAGATTAATGGAGGGTTTTATCGAAAACATGTGAAACTATCAATTATGAAAATCAATCCAGACGGGTCGTATAGAAAACGTAAGGGCATAAATAACAAAATAGTAAAGTCAAGTTCTTTCTAAACAAATTATTTCTAGTGTATCATTATCAAATTATATTTATTTACACCTTACCAATTTTCAAAGCCATACAAGTACATAAGTAAATTATTATTGTATTCAATAAGACAAATTGCGAACATTTAACCTATAAAGGAGTAAAATGTGCTAAATCACAAATAAAAAGATTTTAAAATACAATATAAATATTTATTCTTTTGATAAAACTTGCAGGAGGTCTGATAAAATCAGCGATATGTATATATATTTATTCGCGGATCAAAAAGAGAATTCAAAAAGAAATCACATATATTTATTTTACCTATTCAGAGAAACACTTTTAAGCAATCCTAAACCTATTAAAAGACTTTAAAGGTTATCAGTTGGATATTCATACCATCATTTACCACATCTGTAAAGCGATAAGTCATTGGAAAGTACGGAGGGCTTACGATTGTAGATTTTATGTCATATTAACGTTGCAGTTTATGTTTGTCCTTCAGTAAGGATAACATATACTTATGACCAAAGATTTAGACCAATACCCATAACTTAATTTGTCAGCAACATCCTACCTTTGTTTAAACAATGACAATATATAATTTTGTAATAGTATCTATCATATAGTAATTTTCTATTACCAAATACTGCACTGGTTGCGTAAATATTGCGGTCTTTTGTGTGAAAGAGACAACATACATCTATTAAGAATTGCAATTTTTCATTATACCATAACGAGACCTCTTAAATTTGATTAAATCAAATTGCACAGGTTTTAACATACATGTATAACTATGTCGTGCCATTGGATGAAGAGTTCATGATACTCATGTCTTTGATATTGTCCTTGAACCGCATAACTTAGATACTGTTCAATCTGATAAATTTTTAGCATTGCTCTAAGGTAAAAATAACATCACAGTAGGTGGCATAATGCAAATCGTTCCCAGATCTTATTGATAGTGAATAGGATGATCATGTACATTGTCATGTCTGATGAAGCTCCAGACCATGCCAATATGTTTCATTTCATCTTTATCAGAAAATACAGGTCATGAGGTGATTTATAAGTTATACAATTAATTATCTAATTACTAACATAATTCTATATTAATATTCTTGTAATTGTTATAAAATACATCAAATGACATAGTTACAAACCTGATCTTGAACAGTATCAATTTTGTTTTAGAAATTTACCTTTGACGTCACTTTTGTGGCGTTGAACCAGTCGTGTGAAAGACAGTTCTTGGTTCTATTGTGCTGTTTTGTGTGCTGTCCTATGTTGTTTTACGTGTTCGTTTTTATTCTGTGGTTAGCATGTCGAAATGTACTTTTGTATTGTTTATTTGTGTATTTCTCTGTCCTGAATGTTCTTGCTTTTATTTGTACTGTATTCCTGTCATGTAATGGTGTCATTTTAGTGTTATATTTAACATTGCCATAAAAGTGCGAGGTTTGGCTCGCCACAAAACCAGGTTCAACCCACCATTTTTTTCTTAAAATGTCCTGTTCCAAGTCAGGAAAATGGCAGTTGTTATCTTATAGTTCGTTTCTGTGTGTGTTGCATTGTCGTTTGTTTTTTGTTCACTTCAGTGTTGTTTCGTTGTTTTCCTTATATAGTTGATGTGTTTCCCTCGGTTTTAGTTTGTAACCCGGATTTGTTTTTGTCTCAATCGATTTATGACTTTCGAACAGCGGTATACTACTGTTGCCTTTATCTATATTTACAGTATACTTTAGGAGTTACAAGTGATTAAAAATGCAGGCGCGAGGAAATATTCGAGTTAAATAACACTGTTACATGCTTGGTTAAAATTTATGTTATAAAACATAAAAGGGCTACGGATGCACAGATACTCAAATGTATTAATGTAACAAAATGAAAAGATTATTCCCATTCGAACGTTGACTTAATAGCAATATAGGAAACAAACAATTCAAAGACAGAACATTCGACCGCAAAATGTATAATATACGCCAACTCAGCAGTTAATGTTCCGACAAAGCGAGACGTATCATCTTGGGACAAGGAAAATTCCTTGACACTACATGTAAATTGTCAAAGCATATAGTCTCCTTTCTTGTAATATCATGCACAAAATTAACCACAATTACTATTTGTTTCAGGAAATACACAACAAGTAAACAATACAGCCAAAAACAAATTTAACATGATACAACACTTTCCATTGCTGAGACATTTTAATTGATTTTTTATTTTTCTCTTTAGTGTCAAGTCTCGTTAAAGTCATTTATATTTGAAATGTGGTTATCATATTGGATAAGATTTTAACGAACATTTATTATCTAAATTTCCTTCTAGTTATTTTGTTCACTTCTGTTTCTGTTTGATTTTGTGTCTTATCAAACTGCACCTGCCACTACAGACAGTTACCGCGCAAAGTGCATCAAAAGTATAGTTTGTAAAAGAGTTGAATCGCTTCTCCTCTACAGACGACACACTTTTGTGTAACAACTTCTTTTTGACAACATTTTTTTCAGTGATATAGTCGTTCTTGATGTACAGATATTTAATATTGTCCTATATTTCATATTTGTAAATTCTGAATTCTAAATTACTGGGTTTTTTTCTAGAGCAAAAAAGATATTTACTGGAATATCAAATATACTTCCCCATTCACTTCCTCTTTGACTCAATTATTTCGCATATTTTTTTCAGAGCTTTATATAATATAAATGTATTTTATTCGGGAAATTACATTTAAAGAATAAAAATAAGAAGTGTTATGTTTGCTAATGAGACAACTATCCAGCAAAAGACACCCCCACCCACCCCAAAGGGATGTAAACAACTAGTATTTTCTTTCAGTGGGTAATTTGATATTTTTGTAGGATGAGTTTGTTGTTACTTTATTTATCATTTCCGTTACATATGTACAGTTACTTGATCTGAAACTGCCAATGAAAAAATTGCGGCTGTTGATTTCTGCATTGGCTCGTCTCCTTGTTCCCTGATAAATGCATCGAATGATATTGAAAAGTTTACATTGAATAAGGTTTAATGACAAACTATTTTATAACACTACGCAGCAGATTGCAAACAAGAAATAACAAGCTCTATTAAATAAGATTGATGCACATATTTTAAATGGCATTTATATAAAATTGAATAAAGCTATAAGAATAAAATATTGTCCTCAATCATATAATGTTCCCATTAGAAATATTTATAACTTGAAAGGTATAATTTTTTCAAACGAAAAAGTTTACACCATGATAAAGCTAAATTTTGTATTTATCAGTCGCCTCAATGATTTACGAGAGTGTCATTGATAACTGCATATTAAGATCACTTACATATACCTTAATAATATATCACTGTGCTAGAATTAACGGAAAAGAAAACTCACGATCAAATGTATTTCGTGCATCTCCGTACTTTTGTGCATTTCTGTACATTTGTGCAACTCCGTACCTATACATACACAAATCTATGTTTTTCTATTATAGCTACGTTGTTTTTCCTCGAGGTTTTTAGACTTGTTATGAATTTAATTCGTATGGCTAAATGGCTTCCTACCACAACCAACAAAGAAATTACAGATAAGAAAAACGCGTAAAAAGATACTAGCTACAAAATTAGAACATAAGTGTTATATCTACATGTCATATATTATCTTAGTTATTGACTTATCAAAGTATACCCCACATCTCCTTTTGTTACAAATGTAGAATCACTTGTATCTATTTTGATACAGAGATTAACTTTGGTCTTGTTAAAAGATCTAACGTGTTATTAATTATGGATTTCTATACAGTATACCTCCTTCGGCTTTTATCTATATCAGAACAATGTGGAATCTAAATACGTCTATTAACAAACAAGACCTCATGCAAATAAATTTTATTAAAATATTAGATAATCTTTTGAATAATCAGAATCATTTGAATTTTTAGTTTATACCATTATTAAGCAGGTTTACTCCAGCGTAGCTTGTATTTATGTAGCCAATCATATCGCTACTCGGGGACGTCATGTATATAAAGGTATGAACAGTGTTATTATTAACACTACACATTACAGTTTGTAACAAAATATTCAAAATGGTTTGGGAAGTGAGGAATACTAGTGATCAAACAGCAGTTCAGTCAATAGATAAATATGAAGAGTCAGTAGACTTTCAAAATAACTGTAGATCTTACTATCTAAATCGAGTGGAAGCAAGTGAAAGTTTCAAGAGGAAATTAGAGCAGAATAGAGAAAAACCAAAACAGACTTCTATGTCAGCAGCAATGGAAAGATTAAGACAAGAAATGGTAAGTGTTTATCTTGACATAACACTGCTTTTTTGTGCAAGTATGACAAGTAATATCTATCCATATGTCTTTTCATAAATATAAATATTTTATACTCAGAAGGAAATTGTTCACAACAGATTTGTAGCTTTGGTAGTGACAAACATGCAAAAAATGTAACGCCCCTAAGCATCGTTTTATTTATTTTTACAGACTTCCCTTGTCGATCAAGATCTCTCCTTAATGAGACAGCTACTGACACTGAATGAAACAATCGAGGAGCTGAAAAACAAAAGACTTTATGGTGTCAGCAAAGATTCTTTAGGTGAAAGTACAAATTATCTAAAAGACAGCTCACGCCAGTTGGATAAAAGTATGTCTTCACTTTCACTCAGCAGTCAAACCTCTAGTGAATGTAGCAGTTCAATTATGTCGGAGGACGACACAGAAATTAAAGAGTTAGATTCATGAAAACCCATATGTGTCCAGGACTCGGAATATTCTGGCTATGTGGTATGATTGAGGAATAAATAAACAGTGTGGGTTTAAACCAAGTACTCAACATACAAGTTGGATGAGTAGCAAGAAAAAAAACCTCACGGAGTTTACAGAACCTTGTCAAATGAGAGGCAACAAACAATCTGGTTCGATGTTTTTTTTTTACATTGCTAGTAAGTACAATAATTTGAATTTAAAACAATGTATAAACTAAAGTAAATGTATAAACTAAAGTAAATGTATAAACTAAAGTAAATGTAGCTTTTGACATAATGAAATGCACATCATGATAAGACATATTTGAAAAATAAGCTTATAAATGTGAAAAGAAAACTTTACATGATATCAATAACATTTAAATAATCTTTATTGACTAGGAGATAGATTTATTGGTTGATATATTATAAATATGTACATACTCTATTTAATTACTTCAGCGCAACTTAACTATATGAAGTATGCAATTAATTGCGTGTACTGTTTGTGTTGAATCGACTTTAGATTAAAACAATTTACAAATAAGTGTACGTCTTTCATGTATATTAAACGATACATGATTATTTCTTTTTCAGAAAATTGCAATAGAAGAATTGATGCAGAAGTCATTGATGCTGAATGCGGGAAGAACATATGATGGACTCGGTGATGAATAGCAAATGACAAAATACCAACCGTTTCTATGTGCAATCCTAGACTTTACTGCTGTTTTCATTGACAATTCAAGATGTTATATGTGCAAATAGTTATTGCTGTAGTGAAGTTCAAATAAAGTTTCATTACAATCACTCATTTGTTTTAATAACTGAATGTCATTTATTCCTTTGGTTTAAAAAGATCAAATATTGGACAAAAAGAACAATCTTTTATTGAAAGAGAGGCTGAAAGATACAAAAGGGATATTCAAACTCATTAGTCGAAGACAAACTGTCGACACCATAGCCAAAAACGAAAATGAACAAAAGACAAAAAAAAAAAAAAAAAACGTAGAATCTGTTGCTTTATAACCAGTTTAATTCAAGAAAATTTCAAACGAAACTGTGCTTCCTAGAAAATCTATAAAATACCACAAGTACAATAAAAATGACCAGTTACTCCTACTACATAACACTGTCTCAAAATTACTTTACCTGTTAAATTCGCCACGCTATAGCTTTTGCACCACGGCGTGTAAAATAAATAATAAATCTACCACTAAACTTAAAACATTTATTAAAGAGAGGCGAAAGATACCAAAGGGACATCGAAACTCATAAGTCGAAAATAAATTGACAACGCCATGGCTGAAAAAAACCAGACAAACAACAGTACACAAAACATAATAAAGAAAACTAAAGACTGAGCAACACGAACACCACCAAAACTGAGGGTGATCTCAGGTGCCTCGGAAATGTAAGCAGATCCTGCTTCACATGTGACACCCGTAGTGTTACTCCTATAAAATACGTTAATAAGTTATACTTTGTGATTTGACATCACGCAATAGCGGATTGGTAATTGACTCTTATCTAACCCTAAGACATCACCAAATTCTAGACCATCGGTAAAATTTTCTAACCATAACACTTGACCGAATGTGAAATTTTAAAACTGAAACAGGTTTTCCATGACAAAAGATAGACGAGACTGTTACCGGTATAAACAACAAACCATTTAAAAATTTTAAAAACACAAAGAACAACACTTATAACTAAAGCAAGAGCAAAACGAACCCCTTTAAAACAAAACTAGGGGTGATTTATCTCAGGTGCTCCGGAAGGGTACGCAGATCCTGCTCCTCATGTGGCACCCGTCGTATTGCTCATGTTAGTACAAACCCGATGATAAGTTTAATTCGGTATGTCACATATAAGTGATATACTACATACTATCCTTGCTACGTCTGATCTTATAAAAAAAACTGTTAAGGCATCAACGAATTGTATCAATTACAGTTGTGCTGTACCATAAGTGTTCGAATACTCTTATGTAACTACTACAATTATGTATCTTTATCTTGGTATATAAAACTTAAGTCAACGCTTTGTTCCAATTGCTATTAACAGAATGAAAGTACTTTAAAGAAATAATTAGCTCTTGTGGCTTAAGCCTTATATGTACTTTACAATACGATAGAAAACATAAAAGCACCTTTTTTGCAATACTTTACTTGATTGATTTTGATCACTACATCTAATGTGTACTGATGTTTTATTTCAATAGACTCCTTGTTAAATAAAGTGCAAACTAACATGAACAGGACATGAAAACAAGGGGCGTTTAGTATACAGATTACTCATTTGTTATACACACAAGATAAAAAGGTGTAAAATGTATCAAAACATGCGTCTACAGATTAATGAAATGAAGTTCAATAGTATCAATCATTCGTTTATGTTACAGCATTGTCATATTCTAGGTAATTTGGAGTAGTATAAGTCTTAAAGTTTGATATAAGCAATGTAGCTTAAACAGCAATACAAGCTCCGTCCCTTTGCTTTATTTATTTATGTATCATATCTTGTTTTATTTAAAAATAATTCTGGCCTTGAAAGCTGTTTGCTCAATGTCCAGTGGCAAATATTTCATGCATATTAAGGACAGGAACAAAATAACGATAAATCCAAAAGGTAAAGTTTCTGCACAGTGGACTAAGCTGTAAGAAGGGAAGGGATATATAGCTTCCTTGCAACAAACAACTTATAGAATCTTTAAAGAATTGTTGCAAGGATACTTTACCGTGTAGAGAGCGTGGTTCACTTCCTAAACAAAGCATCGGATTTACGTCTCCATTCTGATCATACATGACTGTGTATTTATAAATCCCGACAGCCAAACGGCCCTCCTAAGTATGGATATTACTGTAAGATTAGAGAAGTTCATGTGCGAAAGACAAAGATACTTTCTGCATAGGAACTCAAGTGGCGAATCAATGTCATCCAAAATTTCAGTATTTTTAAGAAGTAAAAAAACCTGACCAGCAGTACAAAAACGTGAATTAAAATTTAATACACATAGGTCAAAACTATCCCATTAAATTTCCATGGCATTTTTCTCAATGACTACAATCGCTAATCAATTTTTTGTTTAACGAATACTGATATATTCGAAAAATGGCTGTGTATGACATTTTCGTCACATTTTATAGGAACCTACAAATAATAGTTTCCTAAAATGTCTTATCAGATTTCATGTCAACATGCTATACCGTGTGACGTGGTTTCAGAGTCATCGCTCATCAACTTCCTTTTTATCGAATATTTATTTAGTATTCTAACACATACAGGACATATATGAAATTTTCGTCGCATTTTCAACGGAAGTACAAATAAAAGCTTATTGAAATTTGATATTAGGCTTCATGTATACATACATAAGCTTGTAATGCGTTTTCAGGTTCAGTTTTCGTCAGCTTACCTTTTACCGAATACTTAAAGTGAGCAATGGCTCACAGTTCTACTTCAGTTTGAACGTTCCTCATGAATGTAAATCCAGACAAACGCTCCAGACGTACAAAATGTAAAGTGTTTCTTTTAAATCTTATACACATGCATTTTGTCTTGTTTTTGTGATAAGAAAAAATCATCATGATAGTTTTTTTTTTCATTTGGCGATGTGAAGTTAAACCATCTCTGCCATAACAATTGGGTTTATCTTTGTTAAACTTCATTTATATAAACTGAATGTGAATTGAAATTTGCGATGTTCCAAAAAAGATTGAAATAATTTACAAAAAATATTTGAACAAAGGACACAAAAAAAACCAGTAAACAATGGGTATTATTTTTGGTCAGAAGGCGTTGGCCTTCGTTAACTCAAAAGTGTTAAGTTAAATGATTTAATTATAATACATATTGCTTTCAGAATACAAACACAAAAAAGCACTTGTACTTAGCTGCTGAATACGCTGGCAACACGTACCCATCAGAATGGGGGCTTGTTTACTTATACATGTACCTCAGAAGTTAAAGAAATAACAAGCCTTAACGTATGAAGTAAATCAATTATGGAAGCAAGGAACAACATATGACCGGTGATATGGTACAGCATATAAACATGCCTTCAATAAACATATTTCACCTTATTGTTATTGTAATCAAGTTACTGCGATGCTAATTATATTCAAAACACAAAAGTAGGGTAAAGATACCGTATCAATTCAAAGGTGGGCAAGGTGGTGAGGTCAGTTGGAGATGTACTCCCTAAACGTTAAAGACATATTTTCTTTGAATAAGGACAGTCCCCTTGAATGGCTGCAATGGGTAATTTAAAGACAAATATATTTAAAGTTCATTAATCTGTTTAAACTTTTATACAATATATATTTATTTCAAACTTCGAGCATCCTGACTATAAAATATTTGGCGCAGGATGGTTAATAACCAAAACGCTTTTTAAATTCCGGGAAAATGAAATTCTTTTGAATTTTTGTTCATGAAATGACATACATTTGCCGGTAAATAAAAATCAAGTAGTATTTTACGTAGAAAATAAGTAAATATGTCATATCAAAATAAGTTAGAGAACGATTTACATATAATACTAGGCTAAGCTCTTACCAATCACAAAGCCTCTGTAATTGTTTGAACTTGTATCAGTAAAATTTACTTTCGTGTGGGTTTTGACATGTAAAATAAGTTTAGAATATCTTTTAAATCATCACTGGGATTGTATCAATCTAAAAGTTTTCTTATGTTAAGTATTAAGTAGAATAAACATATTTAAAATAGACACTTAATACTAAAAATATTTTTTAAATTTTCATTTTAAATACACAGTTTAACGATTAGAATTTCCTTCCCTCGGGTTTGCAGATTTTGAACTGTTTAACCTATGCAATAACAGTGGTCGAAGACTCAATTGAAGACCCACGATTTTTACAGAATGTCAAAATCTTAAAATAAACTATAATAACAAATTTCAGTTATCTTTGCGGGATAATTGTTTCAATCTCAGTGTTTGGTTTGAATAAATATACTTTATCCTCTTTTGTGGATCAAGTGAAATTGCAATGGTCGCTAGGTTTTGTCCTCAAAGTTTCAACCTTCTTGTTAAAATTGTTTTGATTACAGAAAAAAGGCAGTGTATGACCAAACCAGCAACACACTCAAGAGCCCCTGGTGATATTCAATTAGTGTCTCTAAATGTATATATCATTAAGTTAGGTCCAATACTGTTTAAACATGAATAAACATTGCAGTTACAAGGAAGCTTTTAAATCAAGAGTTCAAAGTAGTGAAGTTGAAATCATCCCTTCGAAATTTTTACGGACACAACAAATTGGTTGACCGTTATGGAATATTTATTTCACAGGTGACGACCAATATGTTCCAATTGTCATATCTATAATCCGTCTTCTTTTGTGGCATACCGAATTAGACTTATCACCGCGGGTTTGTACTTACATGAGCAACACGACAGTTGCCACATGTAGAGCAGGATCTGATTATCCTTCCGGAGCACATGATATCACCTCCGGGTTTTTGGTGCGGTTTGTGTTGCTCAGTCTTTAGTTTTCTATATTGTGTTTTTATACTGTTGTTTGTCTTTTGGTAGTTTTTCGTTTTTTGCCATGCCGTTGTCAATTGTTTTTGACTTATGAGTTTGATTATCCCTTTGGTATCTTTCGCCTCTCTTTTGAATATTGTACTTATCGGTCTTTAAATCGGTGCTTGTGTTCCTGAGATCAATATATCAAGGAGTTGTGTTTCATATTTTGCATTGTTCACATTTTGTCATACTTTTTATAGCTACTGATACGATATTGGTTTTGCTGATTGTTGAAGGACGCAAATTGCCCTGTAGTTGT